AAATCGAAACACTCAAATGCTTAAAAGCTTCTTAAAACAAACTTAAACAAACACTAAACAAGTTTAAAACCTTGTTTAAAAACTTCTTTAAAAACTTCTTAGATCACTTGAAAGAGAACAGCAAAGGGGTATTTATATCCATTCAAAATCTCAACCAAAACCCCTAAGTAAAAGTCCAAAAAGTCCCAGAAAAAATCAGATCAGAAAATAGCCATTAGGGAACCAACGGTCACATTGGCAGAGCGGCGGTCGACCGGAAATTCTCACGGTCGACCGCGATCCAGGTTCCAAACGGAGAAAACGCACAGAGACTTATTCGGTCGACCGGTGCGGTCCCGACAAACTCTCTGCTGCCCACTAAACAAATGAACAATTGAACAGTCGACCAGTGCGGTCGATCGAAAACTGATATTACAGAAAAACATGTTTTAGAGCTGATTTTTGAGACTTTGGAAAATATGTTAAAAATAACAAATGAAGTCCAAAAATAATAAAACTTTGGTAAATGTATATAAACACGTAAATGAACATGTTACAAAAAGAATTTTTCAAATTGCATTTCCCATTTGTGAAAAATCATCATTTTGCAAAATAGTCCAAAACACGAAAATGTAAACATGTGAATTTTGATATTTTGAAACTTTGCACAATGATTATATAGACTTAATAAATTATGTATATGATTATTGTTAAGTCCATAAACTGAGAAAATAATATTTTCATAAAATTGCATATTCTATGCAATATATACTAAAACACAATAATGAATATGAAACATGTGATTTCATATTATAAACATGAAAACTCAAAAACACATGTATGTATATATATAACTATATATATGCATAGAAACCAAAACTTATGTATATATATATATAACTATATATATATACGAAGAAACCAATAAATGTGTGTGTATATGATATTGAGCTTAGAGTATCTAACACACATAATATAAAATCTAAACTAGATTACCCAAGCTATGATCTTGATCTTCATTGTAGCTCAACTTGGTACACATGCGGATGAAGCTTGAACTTGATCTTTAACTTTGAATTGCAAGGCTTCACCGACATTCTGCCAACCTTCTTTGGATATGATCGTTGAAGCTCTATTCCATCCATCCTCCAACTCGTTGTTTGCCTAGAATAAATACGAAAACACAAATACTAGACAAACAACATTAGATGTAAATTGTTTGCTAAATAACCATCAAAACAAGAAGGCCAACAATTGAACCTTATGTTCCTTCTCGATTCGCCAAGCAGTTTGGATATGATCAGCTTTATATCGATAACCCTAATCTACAATTAGCCCACATCAGAAATTTATATGAAGGGGCCCGGGCTTGGTTTTTCTTCTCTGCTAGAGGAACTCATGCACAATTCACTTTGCCCAACTCGCCGCCTAGTTGCTCAACCATTGTGGACTTTCGTGATTGGTTTGATGAGGCTTCTCGAATCTCAGAATCTGATGTATACACTTCATGCATAAGAGAGATTTGGGAACTATATAAATTGAGTAGCGACTCTACCAGGACTTGACTACTAGGGATAGAGGATTATCTGTCCTGCGAGCGAGAGGCGATCGAAGCGGGAGAGATCACAGAGGAGCTACCAGTTGCTGAGCCTTTTGAAGAAAAGACAACTGAAGAAATTCTCGAGGAAGCACCTACTCTTGAACCTCGCTCATTAAGATCATCAGGGAAGAAGGCCCTTACTGCTGAAGAGGAAGGCGAATATGATAGGAGAATTCACAAGAGAAAGCCCATTGCCGCCAAAAACTCTAAGAGGACCAAGTTAATGGGAGACACAATGAAGTATGCACTTGTTGCGCTCTTAGCTGATAGAGAGGGTGAAGCACTTCGATCAACTCCTTCCATTCCTGAGGATGTGGAAGCAGAAGAGATGTTGTCCATTAGGGGTTCAGAGTCCGCTTCTTCCCCTCCAGTCTAGAATCAGGGTTCGCATGAAGATCTTCCTTCTAAAGCTGTTCCACAATCTACTCGTAATAAGTATACGAGTCTGATCTATCCGATTGCTCCTCCCCCACATTTGAGAGCTCTGAGAGAGTGCATTTAAACAGTTAGAGATGAAAATAAAGTTTACGATTGATATTGTTACCTTAGGGCGGGTCCCCTTTGAGCGTTTCAGACCCCTCCTAACTAAATGGTTAACAGACATCAGAAGTCATGAGAATGTGTTATAGATTGAGAACTGCAGGGAAAGCATCATCCTTCTGGAAATGAAATTGGAGATGCTTTTGAACTTGCAGGAAAAGCGTTAGTTCTAGTGATATGTTAGTTCTAGTTGAGCCTCTATTAGTTCTAATGGCTTTCGTGTTAGTTCTAGCTGATGTCATATTAGTTCTAACTTCTAGCTAGTGTTATTTCTAATATAAGTGTTAGTTCTAGTGGTATGTTAGTTCTAGTTGAGCCCCTATTAGTTCTAGTGGCTCTCGTGTTAGTTCTAGTTGATGTCATGTTAGTTCTAACTTACAGCTAGTGTTATTTCTAATATAAGCGTTAGTTCTAGTGGTATGTTAGTTCTAGTTGAGTCCATGTTAGTTTTAGTAGCTCTCTTGTTAGTTCTAACTGATGTCATGTTAGTTCTAACTTGCAGCTAGAGTTATTTCTAATATAAGCATTAGTTCTATTGGCATGTTAGTTCTAGTTGAGCCCCTGTTAATTCTAGTGGTTCTCGTGTTAGTTCTAGCTGATGTCATATTAGTTCTAACTTTATTCCTTATATTAGAGCATATGGAGATGAGAAGCTCCACCCCTCCATTCCATATTGATATAGATGCATTTTCTGGAGCTTCAATGGAGAGATCATAGACCTTATTGAGCAGCTCAATCAACAAATGACAAGAAAAGATAGTAAACCTATATATAAGGTTCGGCATAGAATGCAAATTTTTAATTTGTATGCCATTCACATTGCCATCTAATTCTATAAACAACTTGTTGTGCAAACGTGATTACAAGACCTATGTTCAAATGCTATTAATTGCTTGGAGTAGACAGTCGTAATCTTATATGTGACACAACAAACTTGTTAAAATCCCTTGTACAGGAAACATGTGTTCAATTTCTTCAAAAGATAGTTAGCGAACTAAACACACTCTCTTAAATTTACCAAAACTAAGCTATTGCAACCCGATGTACAGGAAAATTTAAATCTTCACCATCTTCCATAGTTCCATTAGATCTTCTGAAATAATGAGTTGACACGAAAAGTTCAAAATCAAACACTCAAACTGAAATATACAATAGATCTAGGGCTAGGGTTTCTTTTATTCTCAACATACCAAAGAGATCGACACCTTGGAGAGTTAGGGTTTGGACGGCATCCTCAAGAGCTTCATCCGGATCCATGCCCAGATCTTCGATGTTCTCTGTAACTAGTGATTCGAATGCTTGCTGAGAGATGGCGCGCGATTTGGAGCTCATTTTAGGGTTTCGATTGTTGAATCTTTGACGGGGCAAAATCAAAACAAGCGGAAAATGATGGGGGGGTTGAGCGAGTGTGGGGGACTAAAAGTGTAATTTCCGATTGATGATGGCATCCCTCTTGTGGTCTGGGCTCCGGTGTCCTCGTCCTCATTGGCGGCAACAAAAGAGGCCGAGCGAAGCTCGATTTGCAAGGCGGGAGGGAAGGGGAAGGAGGAAGAAGAATGAAAGGGAGAGAGCGATGATCAGAATGGCGGCTGAGAAAAAAAAAGCTGAACTTTCTTTCACTTTCCCCCATAATTGGGCTCAAAAGAGCCAAAAAATTTCGGCAGAAAGATCCCTCAACTTTTCTTTACTTTTCTTCACTTTCCTTTTTATTTTTTGCAAATCAAATACATGTTTGTGAAAGAAAATGCCAAAATTTTCTTATGTCAGTTTTCTTGGGGGCTCTTTCTGAGGTTTTTGTGCGAAACAAACAACCCCTAATAGAGGAAATTTGCTCCAAGGTCCTCCTAAGCATAATCGACTTCATAAAGGCCCTTCACCTTTTTCCATGACGATTCAACACACTGACCTGATCTTAGTGGGTGTAACTTGGGCTGGACCCACAACAAGAACTGAGGAACGCTGGATCGATTAGAGCAAAAAAAGAAGGTTTTGATGAAGGATATTTTTGCTTCTACGGTCAAGTATTTGCTCAATCAGAACTAATTATTCTAGTGATCTGTATGTAGTTCAATGTAGGAAGGAGTATCTTACTCCTCTCTCGAAGGTTGATTATCTTCCTTTGCGTTCTGAAGACTCAAATGGGGTTACAAAAGCAACGCTGGCAACTCACACTTGATAACTTCGGAAAAAGAGTAGAGATCATGCTCTCTATAGAGCTTTCGAAGCCCTAAGATGCGCGTTTCAAGGTGACTAAGTAAGAAGTCTGGGAGAGCTAGAATTGTTGGTTGATATGATTTTTGGAAATTATAAATTTCTACTTATATGTTTTAAGTTATTTTTTAAAGATTTGACCGATCTAAATTTACTTCTCTATACTTAAAGAAGAATCTTGTTTATGGTATACTAAATATTACAGTAAATACTGTAGCATAAACAATAAATCAAATCTGATGCTCCACACTTGAAGTTACTATTTATGCTACAGTGTTTTTACTATATCATAAACAGTAAGCAAATCAAATGTATTCAAACTTGGATGCTTCTTTTAAGTATAAAGAAGTAAATATGATTTCTAAATCAAATGTATTAAAACTTAAATCCTTCTTTAAGTATAGTTTTAAGCATATAATAATTAAATCAAATGCCTTAAAACTTAAATGGAGACAAGTTCAAAATGCAGTCCTTAAAAAAAAAGGGGCCCGTACTTGTCCGGCATGCACACTAGTATATTGAATTCAAAAACCCATGTCTCAAAACCCCAAAAGTCAATGCTTAACCTAGTCACCTCAAACTGGTGATCATGTAATCCTTGCATGCTCCCTTCTCTTGAAAAAATCAGAACAGGGGAAAAACTCCGCACTGAAACATTGCACATTAAATAGGTTCAAATTCTAGTTTATTAATTGAATAAAAACAACAATCCAGAAATATATAAAACTTCATCCCTGGACCGTACAAACATTTACCCTACAAAAAATGAAACAATTTATGTTAAATTACAACATTATAACTAAATATCTCAGTCAAAAGTCACACAGTAGCCGTAGGAGCTCCATAAGCACTACTACTACTCCGAAGCCAACCATCATCCAACTCGATCAAATCCTGAAGCCCCTCCCACAACCCATCAGCATCCCCTTCCTCATTCTCTTGCTGTTGTTGTTTTTGCTCAGGGAAGGGAAAATTGAGCTTCGCCCTCGCTCCCCTGAACTCAACGGCCGCCTTATCATACGCCCTCGCTGCCTCCTCAGCCGTATCAAACGTCCCCAACCACTTCCTCACCGCCTTCCTCGGATCCCTTATCTCTGCCGCCCATTTCCCCCACGGCCTCTGCCTCACTCCTCTGTACTTATTCTTCTTGTTCCTTCTCTTCTTCTGATTGCCTTTCGTCGTCGTTGTCTTCGATGGTGTCTCTGATGCTGTGAACATCTCGCATCCGATGCATCCGTCGATGCCGCACTGTCGGGAGAGTGGAGACGATGACGGAGTGTTCTTGCTCGGGGGTGAGTTGGGGGTGGAAGTAGAGCTCTCTTTGGGAAACCATTTGGATTTTTGCAATTTTGATTTTGTGAGTTTGAGAGTGAAGAGAGCGGGTTTTGCTGGTATATATAGAGGGGAGTGGGAGAGTCAGGTGACAGACTGACAGTTGGCTGTGGACGCGGGTTATAAGCGGAGTGGACTCGCACGTGGAAATTGTAATAGTGTGACAGTTGATGGTGATGAGCTGGCAGGTGGAGAGGACGACGCACGTGTGGTTGTGAGGGTATTTTGGTGTTTTTGCGAGTGATTTTGAAGTGGCGAAGGACGCGGACTCGAAGACCAGAGGGAGACTAGCTAGTTCGGACCCCGCGGTTTGGACCGGATTCTCTTGTTTCTAGAAGGAAGATGGTTTGTTGCGCTCCCATTGGCTGCGCACGCATGTCTGTGTGCTGACACGTGGCATGGTGCTACCCCAATCTTACAAAGACTATCCTGATCATGAAAAAGATTAAATGTTTTATCATAAATATTAAAATTGATGACTATATACCCATAAAACCTAATCATATTGTAAACCATTTGAGATTGTATTGATAAAATGTTTTGACTATACTGATACTGACTGAAACATAATTTTTAATTTAAGTGATTGCATTGATTTAAAATTCTTAAGGAGTCACTATGATTTCCAACTTCTGACCCGTCGCCAGCCTCAGTTGCCACCCACCTCGCCCCGCCTGGCTGCCCGTTAGGCCCTCCCTTGCCGCCCGCTTTACCTCCCGCCTAGCTGGCCCGCAGCCCCGCGCCCCTGCCAACGCCTGCGGCCTTGCTGACCCGCACCACCGCACACGGCGCCTCCTTGTCCACCTCCTTGGTTGCCGCCGCCTCCACGCCCCGTGCATCCCCTCCCGACCCGCCACATACGACACCGTCGCATAGATCGCTCGGGGGGACCCCCCGACCGTGAGCCCCGCCCACTAACAGACGCCCGCTCGTTACTAGTGGATCCGATCGCAGATTTGCACTAGGTTGACTGGAAGTGGGCCGATGGCGGGACAAGTCATGGGGGCGTTCACTCTGGTCTCGTGCTCGATGGGGGTATTGTTCTGTTTGACTGACGGGCCGAATTGCATTCTGACTTTCGCTTTGGTTGGAGGGGATTAGGTTCCTTGGTTAACAATTTGCCCACTGATTGTCTTCAGCAAGTTTTGATTTTTGATGGAAGGTTGTTTTTGGTGGGGGGTAGGGGTGGCAAACGGGTCAGGTCGGGTTGGGTCGGGTTATAGTTGACCCGACCCATTTAAGTGTGACCCGACCCGACCCATTTAATAAATAGGTCAATGTGATCTGACTCGTTTATTAAACGGGTTACCCGACCCGACCCATATAACCTAAATGACCCGTTTGATCAAAATTTGGGCTGCTACGGTCTTTTTTCTTGATTAAGTAGTGGATATTTCAAAGTTATGTTGATTATCAAATGAATGACTCGGATGTTTGCTCATCTCCAGAAGGAACAGGTAGATCTTTCAGAGGCAAAGCTGAAGTATGAAATAATCAATCTCAAGAACACTGACACGTGGATAATCTTAATTTTGATCAAAAAGAAGTATCGTATCGGACCATTTAGAAATATTCAGAATCCACCAGGTGATACAATTAACAGATATTAACACAAGTAAAAAATCAACAACAGTTCAGCTCAAAAGAAGAAAAAACCATTGAGTACTTGTACCACGGAGAGAAACAAATTCTTGTCCAGCAAAAAACTCATGAACGCAGATTTTACAAAAGCTAGTCCTTTTAAGGGAAACTGGCCATTCAAAGCCAACCCCATCTCTTAAATTTACCCTAAAACCTTTCAACCAAAATACACAAACAAGTTCACCCTTCATTTTACAATAGAAGCACTACTCTTCTCAGAAACTACTTGCAACACTATAAGCCTTCAATGCACTTTATCTATATAGCTCCTACAGAAAATTCTTTTGGGAGATAAAGAGTAAATACCTACACTAAACTACTTCAAAACAACTCAAATCCAAAAAAACAACTTGACAAAAGTTCCTTCTGTGAACGGTAGAGTCTTACGTGGGGGCCACACCCACGTGATTGTGAGATTTTAGTCGGTGTGAAATCGGGTCAGGTCAGTTGTATGTTTGGCCTGGATTCTTTCTAAGGTGGCCTGGATTCTTTCGAAGGGTGCAGCTATATAAATCTTGGCTTCGTAACCTAGGTTGGTGCGTAAGGAGTTTTTTTTTAATTGATGCTGTTTTCATTGGCTGCGGGAAAAAGGTGCAAGGCAGAGTTGTTTTTTGCGGCTGCAGGAAAAAGCGGCTGTACTTGGTGAAGAAAAGCGTAGGCTTTTGAGAGTATTTTGCATTCTTTTGTAAAAGAGAGATTGTGTGAGAGGTTTGAGAGTTTGTGTGAGGGTTTAGATTAAGTGATTATAAATCCTAGTTGTATTCTCTCCCTCTAGTAGTAGATCCCCCCTCCTTGCCCCGTGGATGTAGGTTATTTACCGAACCACGTAAAATTGGTTGTCTCGCTATTTCTATGATTTGTAATAGCTTTTAGGTTCCCTCAACAGGTCAGTCCTAGAACTGATGAGAGGAAGAGCTGATCTATGATTTGTAATAGCTTTTAGGTTCCCTCAACAGGTCAGTCCTAGAACTGATGAGAGGAAGAGCTGATATCTCACTTGGTTGAGATATTCAGGTCAGTCCTAGAACTGATGAGAGGAAGAGCTGATATCTCACTTGGTTGAGATATTTTGCTTAAGGTTTTTGTTTCCATTGTGAAACAGGATTTCCTATTGCGACCTGACTCTCTTGTTGTGCTACCGAAGTACTATCAAAATTTTCGCTGTGCGCAACAAGTGGTATCAGAGCCCATATTTCAGATCTAGGGGTTTTTGGAATTAGGTAGAGGAAGATTCTTGTATGAAGCTTGGTTCTTAGAGTTCTAGGCTTCAGTGGAGATAGGATTTGAAGTTATCGTTGGAGATCTCGTTTTTCTCGTGTAGTTAGGAGTTCTATTTGGAATCCAATCCAGGATTCAATTGAGTAATTTCTTACAATACCACAAAATAGATATATGAGGACGGTTATTTGGGGATGGTTCAAAACCGTCTCCTTTGCCTCCTAAGGGAACGGTTGTGTGACGGTTACAATCGTCACGAAAGAGTCTAAGGCAACAGTTCAAAATAAAGTGTTGGGCTCGAATTAGGCTTGAAAAAAAAACATTGGTAGGCTAATGAGACGGTTTTATTAAGGGCTCGCGCGCAAACTTTTTCAAGAAAATATATTTCTTTCTCAGAATCACTCCTCACCCGATAATTCTAAAATTTCTTCACCCGATAGTTCTAGGGTTTTCTCATCTTCCTCTCCTCTCGTCAACTTCTCTCAGAATCGCGTCCGCCAGTCGACTCCCTCGTCCGCTGCTCTCGTTTTTCCTCTCGTCGACTCCTCCGTCCGCCGCCGGCCACCTTGACTTCGTCAGTTCGCCGCGCCTCCCATGTCAGCCACGCCTCTCGTCGCTATCCCCTCTCTATCATCTTGTGATTTGGGGTATATCTCTCTCCTTTTCAGTCATCAAACCTAGGGTTTCAAATTTTTTTCTTTTTCTCTATTTAATGAAAATTTTATTTGATTTTACAAATTAGGGCTTTGTTGTTTTGGTTGATCATTTAAAGTGGTTGAAAATTCTACATCCTTACTGGACAAGGTTAATCCGAAAAATTGAATTGGTATATGTTTTTAATTTTTTTTTAAATTAATTTATTTTCTCTATTTATTCTATTTATGCTCTTCACTATAGCCTTCGGTTGATCATTTTGTTTGGTTTTTTTACTTTATCAGGATCTACAGCGGGCTCACTAGCCGAATAATGATGTTGGAGTATTTTTTTATGAAGTGGTAGGTTTTGTGATGATTAATAATTTTTATGTGATAATTAAGGGTTATAGGCTATCTTAGGACTGCACCTAATCCATTTAGATATGATCCCTTACATGTATAACTATATAAAATATGAGAAGATAACCTCATTTTTGCATCAATTATTGAAAGAAACCAATGTAACTTACCAATGTTCAGCTTGTTGGTTAATTCTAACAAAATAACTGGTAACGACAAATCAAGTTCAGCTTTAGAAAACATATCATAATGAGGACATATAACCTCAGTTTAACATCACAAACTAGTTACAAATCTACATTGCAAAAATAACCATATACTACGGAGTTTTTCTTACTAGCATTTTTATATCATATATTTGAAAATTGCTTCTCAATAATTTTTTAATATTAAACTTAGTACTGTTTTCGTCGAAAGTCGTTTTCATTGTCGATTCCATTAAAAAAATTAGATCGTTTACAATGAATTATAATGAAGAATAAGCAAATTACGACTCTCTAGAAAATAACACAGAAATCGTTTATCAACTCCTGTTTTGTGGGGGACTTTGCCTATGCCAGGAGTGCTTTAGCTCGTGGACCACCAAATCACAGATTGTGAAGAGATTTAGGGATTCATCCTTCGTTTATCAAAGTAAGAATTTAAAATAAATATCTTATCAATGTAAGATGTTCACTCTTCTAAAGATTAAGTCAGAGCTTAGATCTTTAGGAATCACTAAGAGCTGTTTATGAAAGATGAAGACTCTCTCTCCCTTGCTCAAAATCACCAAAAGCTCAAGTTTCTATGCTCCAATCTGCCCTCTGTCCTTTGTTTCGTGTGTAGGGAGGTATTTATAGGGATAGGGGTGCACAACAATGGAAATGGAGGCAAAATAACTGATCAAATGTACGCTCTTTGGGCGCGTAAGTCTACGCTGCCGCGGCTATTGGCGCGGCCAAAGAGACAGTTTTAGCCATATTCCATCATGTTTGAAACCGTCCTCTTATGACTTTTAACCACTTTTTTCGTGATTTAACTACTTGTCCACGTCAGTACACGTTCTCTTTCTGATATGCTGCCAAGTGGATC